AGAAGTGCATTGGCAAGGCAGGGAGAGAGAGGGAAGCAGGAGGTGAGACCCACTGGGTGTGTGTCAGTCACTGATGCTCCTGTTTCAATTCCAACAAGAAGAATTGGGTCCAAATTCTCTGGATCAACCAGATTGCCCCCTCGAAGGCTGCCAGTAGAATAAAAAGCCAAAAGGAGCTGCACTGTTGGAGGGGGCTGTTGATATTTTGTCTCTTTTGTAGACAGAGCACTACATCAGTGTTTTGCACAACGTTGTAAGAGTAAATCTAACTGTCTGAGATGCTTAAGATGCTTTGATCTAGAACACTAAATCATGGAGGGACATGATTTTGAATCATTCTGTTGCTAGTTCCCTCATTTTCCAGAAGCCTCTGTGTGCTCAGAGTGCTGCAGAGCAAAGCCAGCTCTGCTCCAGGTGATTCCAGAGCTGAGGTGGAACAGCAGCCATGGGACCAACAGCTGAAGAGCCAGTCTGAGGGAAACATAGCATCTCTTTAGACTAGCCATGCTCTGGACTGCATTTAACCCTTGGGAGGGATGAGGAGGGATTCCCATGTGTCAGACAGCTTTGCATCAATTTTACTGCTTTTTTATTTTTTTGGTTTGGTTTTTTTTTTTTTTGTTTTCATCTTTATGCCAAAATGATCCAGTTTGTAGAAATTGTCTTATAAAGAGGAATTTATAATCATCTTCATGTATTCTAAGTGCTGTTCCTCTGAAGCAGACAGCAGCACCAACCTCTTCTGCTTCTGTGATCCTTTTGTAAATGGTTCACACTACAGCTGTTGCCAGCAATGAGCCTGGCACTGAGATACACAGGTTCTTGGAAAATAACTTCCCAGAAGTTTCTCTTTTCCAAGGTGAATGATGGTGGTACTTCCACTTGAATCAGAAACTTTTTTTTTTTTTTTTTTTTTTTTTTTTTTTTGTCTTGTTTTGTACCTTCCCCTTTCTTTAAGAGCTGCTGCCCTGGCACAGGAGGAGGGATCTTGGCATCTGTCTCTTTGCAGAGTGACTCTGCATGGTGGGGAGCTGTGGGCACGAGGCTTTGGGAAATGCTGCACCTTGTGGGGCACCTGCTTGGGTTGGCCTGAGGATTGGCTCAGGGAGGGGAGGGAAGGGCTGAGCTTTGCTCAGTGGCTCTTGTTGAGTTGTGAAACTCCTCCTGGACTGGGTCAGAGCTGTACCTGTCCCCTGGAGCTGTGTGTGGCTGTACCATGGGTGAGAAGATTGCAGCGTTATCAGCACGTGCTTTCCTTAGTGAGCAGCTGCTCGTGTGCCTCCAGCTTGGCCAGTGCAGTGTTCCTGCACAACTGGTTCCTGTCTCTGTTGGCTGGCAAATGCAAAAGTGCCAAACCTTCAAACCAAATTTGCCTGTATCAACCTTTCTGAAAGTGAGGCCTGTCAGAGTTCTCTGCAGGCTGAGAGTGACTTTCAGAAGAAAGGTAAAAATTGGGTTGTTGTAGGGAATCCAGAGCCTGAGGAGTTGGCTCTCCTTGCTAACCTCTGCTCCTTGTGCACTTTTAACCTTTGTTCTGTCGAAGAAACCAACAGACTTGGAACTAGCTTGAAACTTGAAGCCAGTGAGCAGAGGAGCATCCCTTTTCCTTCACCATCCCCTGTGGATTGGCTACCTGGTGAGCAAAAGCCCCTTCCAGCTGCAGCGTGTCAGCTCCTGCCCTCCCTCCCTCCCTTCTCCTCCACTTGGATTCTTTGGTCTCTTGTTGTTGCTTCCTAGCAATGTTGGCCTTGCGTTCAACTATGGTTTTTCTTCATGTGTTTTATTGGTTTAAAAAAAAAAAAAGACAAAAATACTTAAAAAAACAAACAAACATTTAAAAAAGACAAAAAAAAAAAAAGTACTTCCAGAGTGTGCTGACCATTGTATTGTCCTGTACAGAGCCCAGGTCGTTAGAGTCCAGCAGAGATAAAGTGTGTTATGCAGCACCCAGTTTTTTAAGAGTATGGTTTGTGCCAATGCCCCTTCTTTTAGTAGTGCCAGAGACTCTTTACAAGTGCCAATGTGGTGGAAATTATTTGGTTATACTTGTATATTATAGGATCCTGATTTAAGACAATTTAAACATTATCCTATTTAAAAAGAATACTATATAAAATGCTGTTTTTAAACCTTGTCATTTGCAATGCATGTATTGTTGTGCGTGTTGGGGGGCGGGGAGGGAAGAGGGTAGGGGAAAGGAGTTTCTGAATAAGATGCCCAGTGTCAGGATCTATTCAGACTCCAAACTGTCTCATTCCAGTCCAGGAGTGGGATTGTTTCTTGGAATGATCCCACTCTGACTGCTGGGCAACTCACGCTTATTACAGAAATATCTGATGGAAATTGATTTTCATATCTTTCTCCTGAAATAAACTCTCTGTTTGAAATTGGAATAAATTTTGTTCCTAAAAGCCGTGTGGTGGTTGTGTGTGTGTTTCTTCTCTCCTCTTCCTCCCTGGTACCCTGTGGGATCTGCAGCTCTGTCTCCTCTCAGAAAATCAGCATTCTGAGACATAGAAACAAAGCATGTTTTGGTAAATAAAAGATATAATAGGCCATAATTACATATCATGCCTTTTACCATTAACTCTGAAATGTGAGCAGGGTCTGCCTGGGGGTTTAAGGTGCAGGGATGCACTGGTGGCACCTTGATTTGAAGTTTTCCAGGATTTTTGGAGCAGGATTGCTGAGGGTTGGTGTTTGCTGCTGCCTCTTGCTGTGCTGTCAGCCCCTTGCAGGCACAATTCCAAGCAGGAAATCTTGCTGCCAATAGCAGGAATGCTGGTGGGACCAGAACTGCTTCCAGTCTTGTCTGTTAGAAACAGAAATACAAAACATGGCTTAAAATCATCCCTGACTGTGAAAACTAAAACTTCCACAGAGAGATTTCCTGACATGGAGTTTATAGAGCTTAATTCCTTTTCTCTGGGCTCATTCTCCAGGAATGTTGCACTAAATCAGCTGGGAGTGGGTAGAGATGGCCAATTTCCTCTCTGTAAAGGTTTCCTGTGTTTTCAGGAAGCTGCAGCTGAGGATGTTCTGCTCCCTCCAAGGTCACTTAGCCCAGGTGAAACTGCAGCTCCTGAGACATTTTGTTGGCTCCCACCAGGAAGGGAACAATGGTGTGGTGGCCAGAGCCCTGGCAAGGATTTAAATTGTCATTTTTCTAGCTTTTTGGGTGAGTTTTTGTTGCTTTTCTCAGAGGTTCTGTCCCCTTCAGCAGCTGGGGAGCAGCGTCAGTGTTTGTGTCCTCAATCATGCGTTGTGTTCTCTGCAAAGAGCCAAATCTGCTCTGTTTAAATAAAGCAAAACAACAAGTTGAGGGGGAAAAAATGAAGTTTTAACAGCCATTTCCAGCTGGGGGCAAATCCTGGGTGTCAAAGGCCTTTTGCAGCCTC